AAAGCGAGACTCCGTCTCAAAATAAATAAATGACTGCTTGACCAGAGGGCCTAGCTTTTATAGACATTTTATCCAGCTTTCTTTTTTTTTTTTTTTGAGGCAGAGTTTCTTTCTTGTCGCCCGGTTGGAGTGCAATGGTGCAATCATGGCTCACTGTAACCTCTGCCTCCCCCGTTAAAGCAATTCTCCTGCCTCAGCCTCTCGAGTAGCTGGGATTGCAGGCGACTGCCAACATGCCCGGCTAATTTTTGTATTTTTAGCAGAGATGGGGGTTTCACCATGTTGGCCAGGCTGGCATTGAACCCCTGACCTCAGGTGATTCGCCCACCTCAGCCTCCCAAACTGCTGGGATTATAGGCATGAGCCACTGTGCTGGCCTGTTCTTAATAATGGGTGGTAACCCTGTAAGTCACAAAATGTAGAACTACGTTACAACAGCTAATTCTTAGTAGCATGAAGAAACAGATTATCTAACACCAATATACTATATACTTGATTCAAAGTAGAGTCACAAACTGGGGGACAAAACAGGGCCTCTAGATAGGTTTTATTTGGCTAACATTATATTAAATTTTCTTTAAATTACTTCCCAATGAGATAAGATTTAAAAATCTGAATTTCCAGCTTCTCTTGGAAAACAAAGGATCTGGCAACATTATGCCTGAATTCTAAAGCTGAGTAACTTTGCCTGTACTTAGGATGAAAGCTCACCTGTTTACCACAGTCCCCACCATTCCCTATTGCCCTACATCTGGCCTACATTTCTCATTTTTGTTACCTGCCTGACACTGGTAGGTATCTGAGTTGGTGACATCAATGTATAGAATGACCCAAGACATTTTCTAATTCATGGTAAGATATTTCTAACCAGATAAGGACTATGTTCACAAAAACTACACAACAGAAATCATTTCAAGTGATACCTTCAAATGAGAGATATTAAAATTATATCTAAGCAAAAGGAAAGATACTTACTGAACCACAGCCTGACCCCGAGTGAGACCTTTGATTTTCAAATAATGCTCAATTACCCTGTCCTCACTGTAAAACAAAGAAATGAGAAGGATTGCAATGCATGATTATCTGAGCTACAGGCACAGTTTCCACATTATCAGCAAACTTGAGAGAGAAAGCCTTCAGCAACTTGTTTGGTAGATAGAATTTGGCTTTTTGTTTCCATAGGAGATGGATTCCTGAACTTCAGACATTTGATGCCTGCATTATCATCTTCAACTTATATTTTATGTAGCATATTTATATCATATATATATTGCTACCTTTAAAACTTGAAGCACATGGCCAGGCGCGGTGGCTCACGACTGTAATCCCAGCACTTTAGGACGCTGAGGTCAGGAGATTGAGACCATTCTGGCTAACACAGTGAAACCCCGTCTCTACTAAAAATACAAAAACGTAGCTGAGCGTGGTGGCATGTGCCTATAGTCCCAGCTACTTGGGAGGCTGAGGCAGGAGAATCACTTGAACCTGGGAGGTGAAGGTTGCAGTGAGCCGAGATCGAGCCATTGCACTCCAGCCTAGGCGACAAGAGTGAAAATATGTCTCCCCCCAAAAAACTTAAAGCTCAGTGGCTCATACCTGTACTCCCAGCATTTTGGGAATCTGAGGCGGCCAGATCACCTGAGGTCAGGAGTTTGAGGCCAGCCTGGCCAACATGGTGAAACTTCGTCTCTACTAAAAACACAAAATTAGCTGGATGTGGTGGCACAGGCCTGTAATCCCAGCTACTTAGGAGGCTGAGGCACGAGAATCACTTGAACCCAGGAGGTGGAGGTTGCAGTGAGCCGAGATTGCGCCATCGCACTCCAGCCTGGGCAGCAAGAGTGGAACTCCATCACAAAAACAAAAAACAAACAAAAACTTAATTTACTAGAAAAGGAAACAATATTAATTTCTCAAGTGGAAAATGATGTTTTGCCATAATTGGATGGAATATAATACATATAAAATAATGATATCAAATGTTAGTTGTAGAGCATTATTGAAGAAATTTTGAGCATAAGGCCTATCCTCTCTTTGGTTAAAACAGGGAGATCAGCAAGTGTTAGGCATTAAAGACTTTCTCCTTGAATGATTCAGAAAGATTTTAAAAGAATTTAAACTGCTTCTGAGTCTGTGTGCAATCTAAAATACTCTATTATCACCACTTACAGACACATTGCTTTAGGAGAAAACCCTTTTATTGCCCTAGAGCAAAACCTGTTGACTGGAAAGGAAATCTCAAGTATAACCTAGAAGATGAAGTATTTCTATCTCCATATGACTAGTCGTCATTAGTAATGTCTTTTTTTATTATTATTAAAAAACTATCAAGGTCAGGTGCAGTGGCTCATGTCTGTAATCCCAGCACTTTGGGAAGCCAAGGCAGGCGGATCACGAGGTCAGGAGTTCGAGACCAGCCTGGCCAGCATGGTGAAACCCCGTGTCTAATAAAGATACAAAAAATTAGCTGGGCATCATGCTGCGTGCCTGTAATCCCAGCTATTTGGGAGGCTGAGGCAGGAGAATTGCTTGAATCCAGAAGGCGGAGGTTGTAGTGAGTGGAGCTCATGCCATTATACTCCAGCCTGGGAGACAGGGGAAGACTCCATCTCAAAAAATAAATAAATAAATAAAACTATCGCTTGGCCAGGCCCAGTGGTTCACACCTGTAATCCCAGCATTTTGGGAGGCCAAGGCAGGTGGATTACCTGAGGTCAGGAGTTTGAGACCAGTCTGAGTAACATGGTGAAACCCTGACTCTACTAAAAATACAAAAATTAGCCAGGCGTGGTGGGGGGGTGCCTGTAATCCTTGCTACTCGGGAAGCTGAGGCACAAGAATCACTTGAACTAGGGAGGTGGAGGTTGCAGTGAGCCGAGTTCACGCCACTGCACTCCAGCCTAGGTGACAGAGCAAGACTGTCTCAAAACAAACAAACAAACAAACAAAACTATCACTTGAAAATGACATGGTTAGCAGTTTCCAGAGTCAAGATGCTGCGTAGCCTCAGCACTTACTTTCACTATATATTTGGGAATATACTTCCAACTTCATACTAAACGTCTCAATATTGAATATTTATTTTGTAATGTCTATTTTGTAACATTTTAGCGGAAAGAAAAACCATCTTGAGGATTCAGACTAAAACCAAAGAGAATGTATTTAACAAGAATATAAGTATTTCAAGGGAAAACGTAATTTAGGAAAAAAATGTGGGATGAAAATGGATACTATGGATTCATTAAAGTACAAACAACTAAACCAACTCAATATATGCAATATCTAGCTGTAGTAGAAACCTCTGGTCATTATGAAAGTCTCTGATCCAAGGAAATCTGTATTTTATAACACTTATATTGCATTCTGCTAGATTAAAGCTGCATTACACAGTGACTGCACATATACTGAATATTATATATTCACCTAGAAGCATACTCTACAGACATTTTATGCACTTGAAAGAAACATCAGCCAGCCGCTCTTTGCAAATGACAGCAAGATATGTCTTAGTATAATGAACTCCAGTAAGCTTTGAGTACATCCTTTCACTGAAAGGATCAAGGTCTACCTATGGTTACTTTATACAATTGATGGGCAATTTGATATTTTTCTCACTTACATTTCTTTTAATGCCCTGAAAAGCATGTAGTTCTGAATGGAGGCTATGAGAATGGGTCACCTGTTATGTGGATTTGGCTTACCAGTAGGCAAGGGATGGATGCTCCTGAAGAGTTTTGGTTGGAAAGGCTGGTAATGTCTTTAAATCTTTCCTGGCATTCTCATCACTAAAAAGAAACAGAATATGATAATGTCAGGTACTGCTATCCAAAAAATTATCCAAGCTGGTCACCAAATGAATGAGATAAAAAAAATAACTATTTACAGCATCTTGAAGCCAACATACACATGGTTATGGACTCTAACTAGAAACAGCCCCCAAATTTAACAACTGAGTTCTATGATGAGATGTTGAAGTTTATAATATTGTCTGCATGTGTCTATTTTACACATAACTATGATTATAATTGTACATTTTTCACATTGGATTTTTACAGAACATTCTTCACATTTCATTATCCACTTTCTCTGTGTTCCTACAGTATCTTACTAATTATCTTTAGTGGCTACGTAATATTCATCATGGTGGAATACTGGTTATCATGAAACCATTCACATAACATCACCAGTTTTTCATAATAGATATCGTTGCAATGAAAAGGTTTATGTAGTTGTTTATATTACTCTTCTGTTACTTCCTTACAACCCTCTGAAATACAGCAGACCAACTCAGTCATCTGCAGAAATCTCTTGACTAGAAGATGACTGGAAAACGTGCTTCTAATGAAACCCAAGGTATCTCTTAAGTCACATTAAGTGAACTAAAATGTACCTCATGTAAGGTTAGCTATTATCTAATTATAAAACGGCAAAATTCTAGTTGTCAAGAGAAAGGTGTGGTCTTTATAGAACTTTAAAAAAGGGAGAACGGGCCAGGTGCGGTGGCTCACGCCTATAATCCCAGCACTTTGGGAGGCCAAGGCGGGCGGACCATGAGGTCAGGAGATCGAGACCATTCTGGCTAACATGGTGAAACCCCATCTCTACTAAATATACACACACAAAAAAAAATTAGCCGAGCTTGGTGGCAGGTGCCTATAGTCCCAGCTACTTGGGCAGCTAAGGCTGGAGAATGGCATGAACCTGGGAGGTGCAGCTTGCAGTGAGCTGAGATCACACCACTGCACTCCAGCCTGGGCGACAGAGTGAGACTCCGTCTCAAAAAAAAAAAAAAAAAAAAAAAGGGAGAACAGGTAACACTATCCAGTCATAGTTGGTTATGAGAGAAAATACTCTAACTGCTGAGTATTTAAGGATACAATCTATGAGGAAAAGGACATGATTATCTAGAGCCTATTAGAGTGTAGAATAAGCACATGAAACAGCTACTCAAAATTCTGATCAAATTGGTGTTCATCAAACAGCATAACGCTAACTCTTCCTACGTTCCACTTCTTCCTATCTTTACCACTAGCTACCCTTCGATAAAAGGCTCCCAAGTGCCAGATACCACGCAACACACTTCTTGGGCATTATTTAACTCATGTAAGGCTCACACAAGCATTCCCATGCAGTAGATACTATTATTATCTATTGAAGTAGACGAGCCCCCCAGCTGGAGGACCAAACATTGAACCATTCCTTATTGCTATTACATTTCAAAGCCAGGGTTGTGGCCTTTCCTACAGGTGAAAGATCTAGCTTTCCAAATTACTACAGGAAATAGTCACTTGGCTCCTATTCTTACATAAGAATAAATCTCTCTATTCATTTGAAATCTGAGTGTTATGGCTTAACCACACTGACAATCTTGGGAAACTGGTTTGTGCTTCCTGAAAATCAAAATATACCACAATCCAATTCATTCATATTAAAGGTCAACTGTCAACTCCCAGTATATTTATTTTTCTTAATAATCTCTTTTATGTTCTGTCTGGCATACCACATTTACTTTTTTTTTTCAAACCCAAGACTGTCTGATACATTTACTCCTAAATTGTGATTTTTTTTAAAATGAAGGGCAAATGCATGCATATATTCAAAAATGATAAATTCAGGACAACATCGTGTTATGAATCATCCACATCAACCACATGCTTGTTGTTATATCTGGATCCAGGTGAACCATAGGCCATGTTTCAAGAACCCAGCCTAACATTCACTTACTTGGATTACAGTTAATTTTGTGGCAGTGGAGACCTCACTAGACTGGAAGTTGCTATTTATCATAAATTTATTTATTCAGTTAACAAAAATATGTAGAAATGAGTGTCACATGCTGGAATTGTTTTTAACTCATATAAATGCAGTCAACCAAAAGGGAAAGGAGAATGGGGAAAGAAGTGAGGGAGAAATTTTGTCTGTCATTCCATTCAATAAGCTCATGGTTGAGAATAAGTACAAAACAGGTGACTTGAAGCTGTTGTCCTTAGTCCTATGTCTCTCAAAGCACAAGTATCTCATGACACTGAGATTTTTCTGGCATTCAGGCATTTAATACATGTCTGCTAAACTCAAGCAATCTTTATATCTAGTGCCTAAAGAAATAGCTGTGTATTTCAACTGGAGAAAAATACCACCTGTGTTGGATTTATTGAAAGATGAAGTTTAGTCTTCAGCATATCATTTTCCCAACAATTTTCAAGAGTAATTTGAACTATACACAATCAGAATCTACTCCAGTTATAAGATGTTATTTGTTTAGAAATTTTGGCTGAATAAATCAATAAATTACTAAAGGTTAATCATGAGCCAGTATCTGAGATAATGATGAATATTCACTCATTAAGACCTTTTTTTGGGTACTAATCAATCACTGAGAAGCAACT